ATGCGCTACCACACCCGGCTGATTTTTTGATTTATTGTAGAGATGAGGTCTCGCTGCCCAGGTGGGTCTCTAACCCGCGGGCTCAGTCAATCCACTCACCTCAGCCTCCCAAAGGCGTGGGATTACAGGCTGAGCCACCAAGCCCAGCTCTAATTTTTGATTTATTGCAGAGATGAGGTCGCACCAAGTTGCCCAAGCGGGTCTCGAACCTGTAGGCTCAGGCAATCCTCAGTCTCCCAAAGGCGTGGGATTACAGGCTGAGCCACTAAGCCCAGCTACAAATTTTCTTTTTCTTTTTTTTTTTTTTGAGTTGGAGTCTCACTCTGTCGCCCAGACTGGAGTGCAGTGGCCGCTTCCGGCCACCGCAGCCTCGACCTGCTGGGCTCCGGTGATCCTTCCGCCTCAGCCTTCCAGGTAGCCGGAATTACAGGCATGCGCTACCACGCCCGGCTGGTTTTTTATTTATTGTAGAGATGAGGTCTCGCTGCCCAGGCAGGTCTCGAACCCGCGGGCTCAGGCAATCCACTCACCTCAGCCTCCCAAAGGCGCGGGATTACAGGCTGAGCCACCGAGCCCAGCTCAAATTTTCTTATTTACTCCCCACAGTCACCCTGCAGATGGACTGTTCTTTTTTTTTTTTTTTTTTTTTGAGTTGGGGTCTCACTCCATCACCCAGACTGGAGTGCAGTGGCACATTCACGGCCACCCCAGTGTCAACCCACTGGCTCCAGCGATCCTTCCGCCTTAGCCTTCCAAGTAGCCGGAACCACAGGCGTGTGCTACTGCACTTGGCTAATTTTTGATTTATTATAGAGATGAGATCTCGCCAAGTTGCCCAGGCTGGTCTCAAACCCAGGAAATTCACTTGCCTTGGCCTCCCAGAGTGCTGGGATTACAGACTGAGCCACCAAACCCAGCCAGATGGGCAATTCTTGTCCCCATGCAAAAAAGAAACTGAAGTAGAGCAGCTAAGTAACTGGTTCACAGTCACCTAGAGATCAAATGGTAGAGCAAAAATATCAAGTTGTTTTTTTTTTTTGAGTTGGAGTCTCACTCTGTCACCCAGACTGGAGTGCAGTGGCCGCTCCCGGCCACCGCAGCCTCAACCTGCTGGGCTCCGGCGATCCTTCCACCTCAGCCTTCCGAGTAGCTGGAATTACAGGCGAGTGCTACCACGCCAGGCTAATTTTTTTATTTATTGTAGAGATGAGGTCTCGCCTGCCCAGGCGGGTCTTGAACCCACGGGCTCAGGCAATCCACTCACCTCAGCCTCTCAAAGGTGCGGGATTACAGGCTGAGCCACCGATCCCTGCAAAGATCACGTCCTTAACGTCCATCCTAGACTGACTCTCACCAAAAACTCTGGGGTCTAAAAATACTTTCATTTTTATTAAAATATACATAATGTCAGCTGGGCACCATGGCTTTTGCCTATAATCCCAGCATTCTGGAAGGCTGAGGCAGGAGGACTGCTTGAGATCAAGAGGTTAAGACCTGATTAGGCAAAATACCAAGAGCTTGTTTCTACAGAAAAATTTAAAAATTAACTGGGGTGTGGTGGTCATGCCCATAGTCCCAGCTACTGGAGAGGCTGAGTCAGGAGGATCACTTGACGTCAGAAGTTCGAGGCTGCAGTGATCTATGACTATACCACTGCACTCCAGCCTGGGTAACACAGTGAGACCCTGTTCAACTATCCTTTTTTTATTAAAAAAAAGGTTAATGAAATATACAAGCCGGGCTCAGTGGCTCAGCCTGTAATCCCGCACCTTTGGGAGGCTGGGGTGAGTGGATTGCCTGAGCCCACGGGTTCGAGACCCGCCTG